CAGCATTTTGAGAAGCCATTTTTTTTTGCTCCTAAAATGAGTTTATTATGGGTTTATTTTTCATTGCCTATCAAACAGATGTTGCATGCTCTCAGCGGGATTTTCTGTATTTCCCAGTCACTCTGGCTGGGTGGATTGCCAGATGCTCCAGCACTCTGCAGAGCTGCTCATGAATGCCAGGGAAGTAAGTGGATCTGCCTCAGCGATAGGAAGGGAAATCAAAGTGTGCTGAGCATGATGGGACACGGGATAGCTGTGCCTTCAAAATGGAAAACTGTAAACAAGTACAGAACAGATGCAGACAAGTTTCTACTGCTGTGGAAGCAGCTTGCTGCTGAGGAAAGAGCATCAGAATTGGAATCAACCCGACCTGCTGAAATCCCAAACCTGCTGCTTACAGTCTCTCTCAATGGAAACCTTTGCTGCAACTCTAAACTACAGATTTCTATACTTGTGAAATAATGTTGCTATATGGAGAAAATATCCCCTGAAATACTTTTAATATATATTGTCTAATCACTTTTTTTCTTAACTGTTGTTAAGTAAAATTGAGTATTTTTAATCACCCTTTGGTCATAAATACATTTTGTCCAAATTTATTGTCTAGTTATTTATGTATGTATCTATGCATTCTCCTTTATCTAGGTCCCCATATTTTAATTCATTAACTTGCTACTTAAAATGGTTAAAATTTATGAATGCATCATGTGTAAGAAATTTAGCTCTCTATACCCAAATATATATGTGAATTCACATGTATATGTGAATGTACATGTATATATAATATTTATTATTTATTTGCATATATACACACACATATATTTAGTCACAGTCACTGTTTTCATACTCATACAAATTGTGGTGATTTGAATAAAAATGGTCACAGTTGGCTCATATGGAGAAACATTATTAGGAGGCGTGGCTTTGTTGGAAGAAATATGTCACTAAGTGGGTGGTCTTTGAGGTTGCAAATGCTCAAGCCAAGTCTAGTGGAACTTTTACTTTTTGCTACCTGTGGATGAAGATGTAGAAGTCTCAGTTCTGTTTACAAGCAATATGTCTGTTTACAAGCAACATGCCAACAAACTTCCCACCATGACAACAATGGATTCAGCCTCTGAACTATAAGTCAGTCCCAATGAATGTTTTCCTTTATAAGAGTGGCCATGGTCATGGTGTCTGTTCACAGCTATTAAACTGTAAGTAAGACACATACATATCTTAGTAAACTTATCTGGATATTAGAAAAAGTAATTGCAAGAACTGGCTTACTAATTCTAAGTGGTTTTTTTTTAGTTTTATTTTAAATAGGCATGGTTTTTAACAGCTCTAAATGTCTTTCAATTGGGAAATGTCTTAAACATTTCCTGAATTGTAACACTAATATTGGGGTAACAAGCTGAAGATCAGAAAAGCAAAACAGCCAGCCACTAGCTCTCACTTCTAGGTTTAAAGGGCTGATCCACATGAGCTCTTCACCAAGTCTCAAACTGCTGCCTTTCCTCAGTGTGGTTGGTGAATAAATGCCTCCTATTGAATCTGTTCCTGTCTCAAATACCTCTCATAATTCCTGGGAGTAACAGTGTGAGCTCTGTTACTCTTTTAAACTGAGTCACTCTTGCATAAGCCTGGATGATCTTGAACTCAGAGAGATCCATCTGCCTTTGTCTCCTGAATCATGGAATTAAAGATGTGTGCCTGGCTTCTACATCTTGTGGCTGACTTTACATTCTGAATCCTCAGGCAAGCTTTAAAATTCATAAAGAAAATATCACTATAATGGCTACGTGTTGAAATACTGGTCTCCAGCCCCCATAAGCTTCTTGTAGGTTATTAACTCTTAAGGGTATGGACATGTGAAAAGGAGTTGGATTATTAGTTGTGTTCCCTCAAACAGGACACTAAATTCTCTTCCCCAATTTCCTCTCTTTGCATCCTGTATATCATAGGCAAGTAACTTTTCTCACTTGCAGATGCCATGCTATGATAGACAGGCTGAATGCAGTATCAAAGATGACAGGGACAAGCAAACACAGGATAGGAATGAAACCTTTGGAATTTAAACAGAGATAAAAATGTTTCCCCAAGTCAATTATGTTTGTTTTCTGTTATAGTAACAGAAAACTCACATATTCATCAAGACCTGATATTTTTCTGCATATAGTAATTCTTAGGATATTTGAAGGTTTTAAATACTTCCCTTAGATTATTTTACAAGATTTTGGTTTCATAGACTCATTTTTGTGTGGTCTTATTTTCTTTCTGCATTACCTATTGTACAGTGCATTACTTGATTGTCAGTTCTAAAATTTGAACTCTTAAACATACTACAATAGACTTTTATTGTAATACATGCATATGATAAGCTGATAAAGAATGATCCATACTGACCAAGTATCACAACATGAATATATCTCAAAAACTCTTCTCAAAAACAAAGATCCTACACTTGTTCAAACAAAACAATGTTTCTTTCTCTCTGTGTCTCTTTCTCTCTCCCACCCATACACAACTCACACACACACACACACAACAACAACAACAACAGCATTGTATTAGTGGGTTCATCTTTAAACTCTAAATTTCTTCTTATGGCACGTAGTGTTTGTGACAATCTCTCTAATTCTCTTTGGCCCCTTTGTAGAGCTAAGAATGGGGAATATAGATTATGTATTATAAGAGTTTTTGATGCTAATTGAGCTAGTGAATATAAATGCAAATGGCATGCTTTACATGGAGTTGATCCTCTTATTTACATATAATCTCTACTTCCTATTCTGAATCCACCCAGCATGGGCAGGAATAAATTGATTTGTAAATATAGCAAGAATATTTTTCTTCATATGATAATTACATAGTTCTCAGCTGTAATTATTCATCCTTCCCTCTCTCTCCTTACTTCCTACCTTTGTTATCGAATTTCCTGTGAGTACATTTATAGATATGTGTTACAATTTCAGTTCACAAATTTAATACTATTCTGACTACATTATAATGTTCACTTCATCTAGAAGACAGAAAGTAATTTAATAATTGTGTATGCTGATATTACTCATGTGGCTTTGATTGCATATGCATGTTTATTGTAGAATTAGGAGGACTATATAGAGAAAACATTGAAGAAAACTAAAAGTCAATGATCTAGCTTTCAACTTACATTGATAGGATATTCTGAAACCAAGTGTGTTGACTTAACTGAGCAACTACAAAACATTAACTGGTCAAACATGATCTCTCACACTAAAATTTAGTATGATTTTCTTATGTAAAATGCTTCAAAGAACAGAAAAGTTTTAGGGTATTTTCTCCTTATCAAAGTATACTACTGTTTTTATTTATTTTCAATAGTATTATGCTCAAAGCTGCACATGTTTTCTCAAATTAAATTTTGATCAGAATTATTGCCATTTTAGATATTTGGTATTTAGTCCGTGGACTTTGATTGTGTACAATGCTGTTTTCACAATTTTTTTTCTGATACAATTCAGAGTCCCTATAGAATCCATACAATGACACAGGAAGCATAAAGAAGACACTAAAACTGACACTTTAGATATCATTGAAATGGTTTTCCTTGCAATATTTACTTGAGGTAAAAATATAGATACATACATTCATAGTCCTCTCATGCATTTTGATACAATTAATAATCACATATGTTTTAAGTTTTACTAATGGAGATATTGGAGTGTGCCTGCATGCCATTCCCAATCACATTTCCTCTTGTCATAGTTGCTAATGACTACAGCTTCTTCATACATACTATGAGGTTGTAGAAACTACGGATCCTTGAGATATTTAAGTGTTCCTCATATAAAGGTCTGATGCTCATGCATGATTTTTTCCTCATTTATTAGTAATATTTTCTTGCCATCCAGGTTTTCTGACTTATAGATAGGCAAAGGCTCCCTGCCTTCTAAGGTCCTGGGCTCATTAGAACCTTAGGCATTTCCAGGACAGGCACGTTGGCATTAAATGTCAACATACATCGGGATATGGACCTTAGAACCATCTCCTGAGTATGGGATTAAGATGGTGTACACAACAAAATATTGAGGAAGACCCTCTTTCTTTAAGTAAACATGACTTTTCTTGAAGGTGTTCAATGCAGATCATTGAGTCTTAAGACATACCAAAACAAAAATGGAATGCAAAATTGTTCAGGTTCTACTGTAGTGTGGGACATAACATAAATGCAAAAGAGTTCCACCTGTCTCAGCTCCTACAGCTTTGGTCAATTTACTATCATGTAATTAAATAATATTCCATATTATTCTAAATTATGTTATTATTTTGATAGTCAACTCTATGCTTAGCAGGCATTAAGTCATTCTCAACATTTATATATTTGAGATTACACTCAGAAATGCCCTATGATTTAAGACTCTTTATTGTAAAATGTCCTTTAAATCTAAGACACAAAAGCAATAGAAATATGATGTATTTTGAAGCTATAATTTGGACACAGTCATTATCTTCTTAGTTTGGTCTTGGTAAATCTTGAGAATAATAAACTATGCATTTCTAACAGTAATTGCTGCATGACATTTGTTTAAATAATCTCATTATTATTTTAAATGTGGACATAACTATCTAATTACTCATATGTAGTTTCTTTATCTTTTAATTTGTGTAAGAGGAATAAACACTAAATCAGATCACATAGGTAAAATACTGAGTATATTGAGTGTGTTTTAATCATATAAAATGTTTGGTAAATAACTATCATTATTAAGGCTGATATATTTATCATAAATATTATGGTCTGATAGCTTGAAGGTGGTAGATTGCTGAGTAATCCACCTAACTTGTTTAGGATATTCTTCACTCCACTTAAGCTGTTTTCCCGGTCTTTATCAGAGAGCAACAGCATGTTCTCAGAGAACACAGTGGAGGCTGGAGTGTAAGAATCCTCTCTATCGCTCCTTGAAAGAAGTTGCTGGACACTCTTGGGTGTTTCAGTTTGTTATCTTTGTAAGTTGAGTGTGTGACGACCCAGGATGCCATGTGGATGCCCAAGCCGCTCTCCCCGGGTGGCCCATATGTTTAGCCGGGCCCCTCAAATGAAGGCTTCTCTGGGACATGCGTTTGCAGCTCAGCCTCCAGCGGCAGCTATGCCATTTGGGATTGGCTTACCTACTGCTGCACCCAGGCACCCAGACCTGGTGGCCCACATGGCAACCACTGCAGCTGGTGTGGCTGTGGGCTCTGCAGTGGGTCATACCCTGGGTCATGCCCTCACTGGGAACTTCAGTAGAGGTGGTAATACTGAACCTGAAAAGTCTGACATTACTTACCAGGAGCCCAGCTGCTGGACCAGCAGTCTTGTGGGCCATGCTATCTTGAGATCAAACCGTGTTTTTCCAGAACCAGACTGACGTTAAGCTCTGTGAGAGCTTCAATGAAGTGTTGCGGCAGGGCAGAATTGCAAATGGTTTAATCTAATCAAGAATTTCAAACTGAAGAAATTGAAATGGGCATAATTGATAGTGAAAGTGTGGACCCTGAGTAGACAAACCTTATTTCTAATAACTCTGTTGCTTCAGAATATCCAGGAGTATTTGTCCCTGCCTGTCAGAATAGACATCAAAGAGTCCTAAATGTATAGATAGTCACTAGGGCTTGTAGTTTTGGGGACTGGGCAAGTGATGGCCTCCTTTAGCAAACTGCATTGTTTTTGTTGTTGTTGTTGTTTTGTTGTGTTTTTTGTGAGTTAACGAAAATGAAATTGCTTGGTTCTGGAAAAAAAAGAATCATTTCTACCATGGTGAATAAAATTGAAATCAGTTGGGAAATATAAACCGACATAGTATATGTAGAATTTTATATGTTGGCTTTGAATATAATTACTACAACAAAAGAAACCCATGTCTACAGAGCATCAGTCAATGCTTTGAGACCAACATTTTGTTAACCTTCATGTACATATGCAAATGATAACCCAGAGTATTGTAAAGATGATATGGTATATGGCTAGAATGGAGAATCTTATCTCCTCCAGGTATACAGAAATATGAAAAGTTCCTAAATAGTAAAAATCATACCATCTGAGACAATACAGATTTTTTATCATTACCATCTCCTCACTGCCACATTAAGCAAAAGCAGCAACATCTGTTCTCCATGTAGGTAGCAAGCACTTCTCAGGTTGGGCAATTGGCTCCCCACAAGCTGAGCAATTCAGTTGCCTGGTATCTCCTTAGAAGCATCTTTGTTCAAATCTGTGTGATGTGTAAAAATAAATTTCCTTACATTACATTCCCACCAGGTAAGATTTCCTTTTTCTTTTGTATCCTAATCTAGGTTAATACATATATAATTTTTTTATTCAAATCACTGTTTCATTAGTTGAAAGAGAACACTATTTTCAACTGAATTTTACCTAGTGTACATAGAGAGTCATTGAGTGTTTTATGTCACAACGTATAATTGTACTACACATGTCTGAAAAGGAATACAGTGCCCACTGCTTTGTACCTTTAGACATGCAATGTTCCTGGGTGAATATATTCTTTATAGAAATAAGGGGCTAATTAGCCTGCTCAGTTAGTGCATATAATTTGAGATTGCTCTTTATCAACATACTCTGTGTTCAAAATAGCTGCAGTTACAGTCAGTACATTATCAGATTTTTCTTCAAAAGAAATTCAGACTAAGTCATCTTCATACACAAGACGTATCAGAGGACCTGTCAGAAGAAGTGAGTTCTCTCCTGTATTTCGTATTTTATTTTGTTTTCCCTGCTTTTCTTGGATTCTCCATTAACTCTATCTTCAAGTCATTGATACAGTTTGGACCTGTCCTTATAGGAGGAAGTTCATTCTAAAAGAAATTAGTTTATATTTTAAATCCTGAAATCTGTAGGACTTGACAGTAATGGATATTGTAAATTCGCTTTGTAGAGGTTTGCTGTTCTCTCCTATCTCAATCTCCTTCCTAGAAGATATACAATTTCTAAATCAAATTTGGAGAAATAGTACCACAGGCTATCGATGGAATGAAGTTTATCAAAGGGTAAATATCAAACACAAAAGGCTCATTTTAGAAAATTTTCTTATTCAAACATCTAACCATATCTCCCCCATTTATATAAATTGTATACTTAGAATATTTGGTAATGCTGTCATCCATATTGCTATTAAAATCTCAACTGTTGTCCAGTGATCTTTGATGTTTCCTCACTTTAACCAGCTTAAATATTTTATTTTTTATAAATTTTAATTGTAACTTGCCTTGTCTTTTTGGCTATAAACCTGTGACCAAGAGCTACATAGTTTTGTGTCTTTTTTATGTAATGATTACAATACCTAAGTGGCAAATGAATAGTTTCCTTGGCCCATGTTTTAGATAGCATGCCCATATCTATTGTGAGCTTCACAAGATTTACGATGCAGTTTTTACATCTTTTATTTCTTTGTGTTAACACAAAATAGCTTCCAATGTTCAGAGAACCTTAGCAATTGATAACAAATGACCTTGTTATCTACTTTTTTAGAAGGAAGCCTGATATGTATGCAGACATGTAATTTTTAATTTTTACATAAAGCCTTACCTTCATTTCATGCCATAGACTAGAAATAGTTGGATATTATTGAATAAATATGCTGTTTATTTCCTATTAAACATTTTCTCACCAGTCTTAAGCATTGTATGCATGGAAATTTACCATATCCAAAGATAGGAAAGTGTTTATGTCCAGCATTCACCATTATGTATTGTACCAAAACTTTCTCTACCACTTAGCCAACTTGTTTATAAAAGGCAAAGGCATATAACAAAATCTGACTGCTGCTGGAGAAGCTTCTTTCTTAATTGCAAATGTAAATGTTGCCAGGTGTTCCTCTCCCTTATTATAATAAATAAATAATTAGAAAACATGATTAATATGAGTCTTTACTGCCTGGTTGTGAAGAGGGTTCTTGGAGAGTAATGTGGGGAATTGATTTAGAGGGCAGATTCTGTGCTTGATGGGATATTTCAAAGCAATGCTTGCAAAAAGAGCAGAATATATTGGTACAGAAACTTAGCATTCCATTTAGGACCAGAAAAAAATTATGGACCTGGTAAAAGTGACAAATTTCCCCTCGGTTGTTGGATGTTGGACTCGGATGTGTCATCAGACATAAACACCATTGAAATTCTTTAACTTGTCTTTATCCCAAGTCTCACCAAATTGTATACTCAAACCTGTCAACTCTAGGATAAGTGAATTTGATAAGTGAACTAGTTTTTCTTATCTTTTATTTCACCAGTTTTCTAACAACGATAGTAACACCTTCCTCAGTTCTAAATATTGAATTCATTTATCAACATGCAAATGGCTGGAACAAAAAGAGCTTTCCAAATGATAGCAATTTAGTCTTATTTTCTTTATCTGGAAAATGGAAATCATGTTCGAAACGAATACATATTACAGTCCCTTACTGGAAAAAAACAGAAATGCTCATTAGCATATTACAATTTCTGTCAAATTTCTGCCGTAATGAAACCTGTATAATGTTAACACTGTAATCCTCATATTTATTCAACCACAAAAATTATTCAATCACTTTTCTAAATGCATTTTGAGAAATACAGTCCAATAATAATGACACTAACTAGAGATATTAAGATGAATAATGAAGACATTATCACTATACATAACAACTGTAATAGTGTCAAGAACATAGGAAGAACACTTTCCTTTCTGACAATGCAGAAATCTGGGAAACAAATCAAGACTATCAGTAACAGAACAGAACTTCAGCATGGTATTTGTGAACTTACATTATGCTTCATAACACATTACCTTCTGTGTTTTCTATTTATAGCCTACACCTTGAGTTTGACTTTTTTTTCTTTGTGGATGAGGAGATACCTTCAAACTGAGTTCTGAAGAGATATTTACCCACCAAATGGTGAGAGCATTTGTGAAACAGTTAAGTACTTTTCTCCCCTGATACTGATGTTACTGTTTCCTGTGATTTAAATGTAATGTGTTCCCCGCAGATTCATATGCTTTAACACACATTATTAACAAAAAACAAAAACACCATCCACGAATCCACTTTTCCTGCTGAATTTCTTTTCTTATTTACAATGATATTTCCTTAATATGTTTCCATTATTTCTCATATATGATAGAATCATTCACTGCATATTATATATATGTCACACGCTGTGCGGCCTGCATCCGAGAATGTAGCAAGGTTGTCGGGATAGATGACACAGAGACCGGTAGGTTGCTTTAAGAAAAACTTTATGCTTCCCAAGTCAGCTTTAGGAGGAGATTCCAAGTCCACTTAGGAGAGAGAAGTCCCTCCAGGAAAAAAAGCTTCCCTTTTTAAGGACTTCTGTCATCCATCTACATACAATTCTTTCCAGACTTCTCACCCTCCTGGCTGGTGGTTCAATCTCCGGCCCCAGAATCGGGGAGACACAGCAGGGGGGGACAGGAAGAAGCATCTAGCCGTAGGGGATGTCAAAGTCATGGTATTTCAGTGAGCAAGCCCTTATCTGAGCCCTATCAAGAGCTTTATAGCACTGAATTGTTTTCAGTAAACATTATCTCACAGCTGCCTGCTCCCAGGCCGAAGGGGAAGTGGGTTTCTGCTCAAGGTCTGGTATCCCTACATATATATATATGTATTTATGTGTGTGTGTATGTATATGTGTATGTACATACATATCAATTTTGAAGTATTAATCTCATTAATCTTTTTCAGGAGCTCAATATTGGGGTAAGAACCTTTAAGATCAGAGAATCTGGGAGCAGCCACCAGTTGCCTCCTACCTCATCCTTTCCTCTGTCTAATAGGCCAAGGTCTTCTCTCAGCTCTGCCTTATTACTTCCTGTCTCCTATCTGTCTACAGTCCTCCAAATCTCTATGGTTAAGGTTTGTCGCACCTGCTGTGCGGCCTGCATCCGAGAATGTAGCGAGGTGGTCGGGATAGATGACACAGAGACCGGTCGGTTGCTTTAAGAAAACTTGATGCTTTCCAAGTCAGCTTAGGAGGAGACCCCAGTCCGCTTAGGAGAGAGCTCTCAGGAGAAGTCCCAGGAGAAGTCTCTCTCTGAAAAAGGAGCTTCCCTTTTTAAGGACTTCTGCCATTCATCTACATACCATTCTTTCCTCCTGGCTGGTGGTCTAATCTCCGGCCCCAGAATCGGGGAGACACCACAGGGAAACAGGAAGAGGCATCTAGCCGTAGGAGGTGTGAAAGGCATGGTATTTCAGTGAGCAAGCCCTTATCTCAGCCCTATGAAGAGCTTTAAAGCACTGAATTGTTTTCAGTAAACATTACACAGATGCCTGCTCCCAGGCCGAAGGGGAAGTGGGTTTCTGCTCAAGGTCTGGTGTCCCCACAATTCACCCCTTTTTATTTTTAAATGAGGCAC